ATGCAGTCAAAATCAAGGTGAATTATCAGAACATTCTGCAAGTTTTTGAGGCTGACAGAAAGAAAGTTCCAAATCTGCGCAGCCGTAAGAAGTACCAACAGCACCAACAGTTGAAAATTATGTAGATGACAATTGACAATATTTAACTATATACCCTTAGTTCCAGTAGCTAAAAGCTACCTATTGTACTGTGCTCTGTTCGATATTGTAAATTTTGTCATACTTGTTTTGAAAATTTGAGTATTCTTTTGTCAATTTGACAATCTTGCGGTAATTCCTGGAACTATAAGCAACTTTGTGTATATTAATTGTTTAATTGTAACCAACGCCAATAATAGTATTAATTACAGTTTATTGCAAAAAATGGAGATATTTGTGTTTGTTGTGGACCCATTAAATTGCCACAGAAAAATCTGAAGTTTTTACAGGAGTCATAATTTATGAAGTAGAACACAGGAATCATAAGGCCGAAACTGAAGTAAATAGTTAAAAAATTATTGGGGGTTTGATGCACCCTAATATAAATATATATATATATATATATATATATATATATATATATATATATATATATATATATATATATATATATATATATATATATATATATATATATATATATATAAATATATATCAGAGCCGTAACACAATTTTCATATTAGGGGGGCCAATATTACATATTAAAGACCTTTTTTTTTTTTAGGTACCAAGGAGATTTGAATATTTGTTAAAAATGTTTTTCCCTAATAATCATAGTTTAATAATATTTTAGGGCGGCCAAGGCCCCCTGGCCACCCCACCCTACCCCGGTGATTACAGCTCTGTGTATATATGTATATATATATATATATATATATATATATATATATATATATATATATATATATATATATATATATATATATATATATATATATATATATATATATTAGGGTGGAGTGAAAAAAATTTTTGTTGAATGTTTTGGTTGCATAGCTATAAAAATTTGCTGACATATGCAATCAGTAATGTGGCAAACAATCAAACGATTTAAAGCATATCTTGAGGTTCCACAATTGACCTGAATTATAGGCATATTTCAAATAAAAAACAATATTTTTTGAAATTTCAAGTTTATATATGACAACATATTTGTGTAGCAGTATACATTTTTAACAGTCTATACGAAAGTTACAAGTAAATAGAACTAAATATTTGAAAAGAAAAACACATGAAAACTCTAGTCAAACATGTTTTTATAGCTACAAATGATGTTGTGCTTTAGTGTCCAGTTTCGGCATTTTTGATCTCGATTCCAAACGTGCTCTTATGAATCTGTCGTGTTTTCTGGACCGCAAACCGCTTGGGAAACTTCTGTAACTAGCTTAATATGCCTCTCCACCGACTGAGTGTGACAAGGATAGCGTGCGAAATCCAGTCTTGGTGTATCTTCTTCCCGGATCATGGTTAAAAAAGTATCGTCATCAATGTCCATTACGATTGGAGGCTCTGTGATTGGAGTTTTTTGCCAATCGATCATGTCTATGTAACTGGTAGCTTCAAAATTGATTACTGGCTCACAGAAAGATCTAACTGAACTCGTGTGCTTCTGCTTCCTGGATTTCATTATACTTCTCAGAGCCAACTCGCGTATTTCTGATTTTTCGTCGGTAAGCATCGCAAGCAACAGGTTTTCTGGATGAGTAAAAAATGCGTTGCGTTGAATTACTGGATCAACAACTTTCTGAAGGTAACCATTGTCTTCAGTTCATCCGATGGGCATCTTGTGGCTATATACAGGCGTAGTATTCGATTAGCTGTTGTTAACTATCTTGAATGATTGATAACACCAGGATTGCGAAGTGAAAGGCCTACAGGACAAACGCCAACACTGACAGCGGTGCACAAGTCAAACAGATATTTTTGATCTGTACTTAAATCGTCAGAATTTAAACCTGTCGGTAGAACACAGTTTATGGGTGTGTATTTGACAACGGGAAGCTTCTCACATGCCACCAATGATTTTCCGATTGGACCAGAAAATCCTTTTGGACCATTGGTAGGTCCATCTAGATGTTCGAACAAATGCCTTAACGGTAATTCGTTAGCATGTAGCTGACATGAATGATACCTCCTCGATTGCCTGGATTAGCAACGGTCCGTCACAACCTACAGCTTTTATACCACCCAGGTCAACATTCTTTTTACTCAAATATGCAATCAACTCAGCCGCAATAACTTTGCTTGACCCTGCAATTGGTGTAATGTGGCCAAAATAGATGGATCCTGGTTCAGATATAATGGATATATGTTCTTCAGTTGTTAGTTTTCGATGAAATTTCCCATCACATTCTTTAATAAGGGTTATTGTACTGTCTTTTCTTCCATCAAAATATAGCCCAGTGATTGTGTTACTGACATTGGCACATAATGTTCCACGTTTTTTACAACGCTCTCGTCGCACTTTACTTCTGTCAATCACTTTAGAAACATCCCTTTCGTGGATTATTCCAACATCTTGAAGAACAGCACTGGCGATTCCTGCTGCGGCTCTGTTGGATACACCATGTCGATCACATGCTAACGCCAGAGATGGTAACTTAACTCTCATCTGCTTGTCACTCAACTTTCTAAATTGTTCATTAGGATCCGGCATACAATCGTCATCAGATTTGTCATCGCTAGCATCAGTTTTCTCTTCCTTAGAAGAAAACTCCTCACAAACATCTGACTGTTTCTCACTGATGTCATCAATGTCAGATTTGCTGCACATCTGCCTCTGCGTCAACTCTTTACGAATATATCGTTTTTGCAATTTGATGGATCGCGGACCCCGCTGATCTTCTAGAAAATCACGTTCAATTGCGGGTATCTTTCTTGACTTTTCACACTGAGATATGAAAGAACACTTGCAGGAGCAAATGTCAAAGAGTTTTTTGGATTCATTTTTAAACTGAGATATTTTCTCTCGGTATGGTCCGAAGTCTTTTCTAGACTTATATGGCTTCAGCAAATTCATGAACGTCTTGTGGTACTTGTTCAACAAGTACCACAAGACGTTCCACATTTCTTGGACACGGCGGTGGCTTACATATGGTATAGAAGCTTTGTCCCATATTTGTTCCACTTTTGTTGTCACTATTTCTGCCACATAGTGATGTGGTGGATCTTTATTGTTCAATTCATATTTAAGTTTCTGTTTTGTCAGATTGTAAAACTTCATAACATCTGCATAAGTAGGTAGTTGATTGTCAGGCATTTCAGAGGGAGCATCAAAAATAACACAAGATACTTTTTTCCTGGTTACAGCCATTAAATATGAATTGTTATTATAAATGAATTAAAGTATTATCTTATATGAATAAAATGTTTTGCAATAAACGCTGTTTGTTTACTCTAGACAGGAAAAACGCACGTGAATATGTATAAAAGTGAACTACAATAAAAAAATACCGGATAGTAAATGCTTATAAATGGTTAAATTTTGAAGTTGGTTGTGGAACCTCAAGACGTTACCTAAATTAATTTTTTTTTTTACGGAGTAATTGATTGTATCACAGAGCAAGTTTTAATAACTATCCAAAGTCAAGCAAATCAAAAAAAAATTTTTTCACGTTTTCACTCCACCCTAATATATATATATTAAAATTTGGGTGGCAGTACCCCCTTGTTTCAGCAGACTTTAGCGGTAAATTAGCGTTTTTTTCATAAAAAAACAATATTTGTCGTGAAAAAAAAAAGGGAAAAAAAAAAAGGTCCTTAAATTTCAATTTGGAAGGCGCTCAAATAAAATCGACACTGTCGAAAATGGTCTAGAATAGCCCCTGTATATATATATATATATATTAGCAGTGAAATTTGAAATTCTGGTTCCCTCTGCAAGATTTTAAAAATAGGGTTTCTTTATCTTCCTGCAGTCATAACTAGGCAAACATTTTTATAAATATTTTTAAAATCATCTTACTTCTGCTACAGCATTTGGCTCTCGGTGACTGGTGAACTTTGGCTGGGATAAAAATAGATTTTTTCAGCTAATTGCTAATTGTTATTGCAATAATCTAGATCTTCCTATATTTATGAACAGTAATGTACTGGATGAGTTATCTACCCTTCATCTTCTAAGATTAACTCTTACTTCTTATCTTTCTTGGAAACCTTATATCAAATTGATGCAACCTTAACAGATGCAAAATTAGCATCTGCTAAGGTTGCATTTCTATCATGCTCGCCACTTTCTTACTCAAGATTTTATCTATTATAAATTTCTAATCCGCTCTTGTATGGAATATTGTGGTCATATCTGGGGCGGATCTTTAAATGATGTCCTTTCTCTTTTAGACAGGTCCAACTATGTTTACAATACAAAAACGCATTATAAACATTGTAAACAAACAAGTTGGACCTGCTCTTGCAGCCAACCAATATCACATCATCATAATGTTGCTTCTATTTCTCCCAGTAATTTCCAACTCTAATAATGGTTGCTTTCAGCCTTGTTGGAAGTGAAGATATAAAAAAAAAATTATAGGAATTAATTTATAGTGATTTTAATAGCGTTTTCTTTAAAACTAGAGTTAATATTAAATATATATATATATATATATTTTATATATATATACGTTATATATATATATATATGTATATATATATATATATGTATATATATATATAAATATATATATATATATATATATATATATATATATATATATATATATATATATATATATATATGTATATATATATGTATGTATGTATATGTATGTATATGTATGTATGTATGTATATGTATACCCGACGGGCATTTTTTTTTAAAAGTTACGATCTAAATGTATTTTAAATGTCTTTTAAACGTCTTTTAAGCATTATTGTTTAAAAGACGTTTAAAAGACATTTAAAACACATTTAGAACGTAACTTTTAAAAACAAATGCCCGTCGGGTATATGTATATATATATATATATATATATATGCAAACTACTTATTTTTGTATTGCTTATTGTTAAAATTATATCTTTTAGGTATTATTTAGGACCTTACATGATTCCAGAGTTTAACAAAAGAAATATTACCATGGTTGTGATTATTGTTGCGCATACGCTACACTTAAAACCAATGTAAGTTTGATATATATAATTCTATATACATTTTTTTAGCATATTTCTTCTATGTCTTACTTTTATTTCTATGTTTTACAGGTTTTAAATTTTTTAACTTATATATATTTTTTGTATATGTGCTAGGTTGATATACATAGTTAGTCTCCTTGAGGTTGATATATATGATTGTATATGTATATTAGGGTTATTACTTTTTTGTGACCCGACGTTCCTGGGTCATAAATTGATGAACATTTGTGCAAAAGTAATTTAAAAAACATAAATTCGATTTTCTTGTTGAAAATGGTCACCCACAAACTAAAAATTTAAATTTATTATATATGTGTTGGATAAAGTTTCAAACAATTTTATGATCATTGTTTTTTAGTTCTAATTTTTTTAATCGGAAAGTTATTATGTAGTTTTTAAGCATTTAACAGTTTATTGTTTCACCATAACACTCTAAGTTACAAATAAATATAAAATTACAAACTTAAATAACAATTTTACTATTGTTCGAGAATTTTATCTTGCATTATTTAATTTTCTGAAACTTCACATAAGGAATTACTCCAGATTCATCAAAAAAGCAGAGTGCCCAAGTTAAATGAAATAGAAATTTCATATCATCATGCCATCCTGCTGTTTCAGTAATTAATTCTTTACCATTCTTGAAATTCTTCCTGAGCTGCTTTTAGTTCTTTACATGTTCTGGAATAAATGGATATTTGATATTGAGAGACATGTTGTTTCCTCCAAGTTCTCATCCATTATGATAACCAATCAATTGTGGTTCTTCCATTTTCTTTTCAGTAAAATGTCTTTGTAATGGACTGAAAATTCCGTTCTTTCTTCCAATGTTTACATTCTTAATGTCTGCTACAATCATCTTTATACTCTTCCATATTCATTGAGAATAGCTTTTATACCTTAAACAACAGTATCTGCTTTTCTGTCTGGTAGATCTAATGCTTGTAACTTCTCTTTGTTTATTCTTTAACACTAACACTTGATATTCTTGATCATTGCATTTTTAAGATAATACATTTATCATCAAAATGCAATGATCAGCTTTCTAAATGTAATGTTTTCTTCATTTCTTCTTTAAGTTTATCATCTTCTTTACTAGTTGATCTGAATATACCAGACTTTGAATAGAGTATCTAAAAAACTATTTAAAACTAACAGTAAAACAGCTGTTTTTTTAAAAAAATCAAAAACAGCAAGCATCTGTTTTTAAATGACTGTTTTTTTTTTGTTTTGTTTTTTAATTAAAAAAATCTAATTACAAATAAGTTGTAAGGAGAACGTCAGGGTTGTAACAAAATTGCTCAGGAATTCTACAACTGCCTTAAAATATCACTTAAAAAGTCACCAAATTTGTTTAGATCAAGGTAATAAAATTAATCATATTAACAGAGACAAGAAACTGTTGGAAACTTCTTTGCACAAAATCTTCAAAATTTTGTCTCTGTTTTGATGACAGATGGCATTTCGATTCCAGCCGTAACCAGTAATTAATCCATTTACCAGTCATTTAGCTCGAGATGTATTTAAACTCCCAGCTAACAAAAGAATTATAATGAAACTTCTGCACAAAGACTTTGATGAAAAGCAAAAAAAAAAAGACTGACACCATAAAAATAAAAGCAGTCAGTAAGGTTTAGCATGACTGTCGATGGGGACTACTTTACTACTTTAAGAAGATATTTTGTTAATATTCATTGTAGAATCATTTTCATAATAATGAAAATACATCAAACTGCCAAGTGTTGGAATTCAAGTTTTTCAATCTAAAGTTAAGGCTCTACTCGGAAAGAAATTGAACTTCATTTTGTTGTAAAAACTCTCTGGAACACAATATTAATGCTTGAGCGATTGATAGACGATTTCTGAAAATTAGTAAACTTCCCCTCCCTTGTATTTAGCACCTACGAATACTCAAATAAAAATTCAAAATTTTAAAAACAGTAAAACAACTGTTTTCAAAAATTCTAAAACAGTAAAACAGCTGTCTTTTAAAAACCACTGTTTTTCAGAAATTCTAACTGTGAAGGCATCTGAATGTCAATATCATCTTGAGATAAATGTCAACAAAATGGTTGCTGCTTTGCAGGTTAATAGCTTTAAAGATGCTACTAATTTGGTTGCAGTTTTGGTTTTGCTGTAGTTCTTTAAATTTAATTGTTGAAATTGGCTTTAGGACATTTTTTTCCGGATGGATGGATAGGTTTTGAACTAGCAGCCATTCCAATTGTATACCCGTTCTGTTCTTTACTTTCATTCTGAATTTTTGAGTCCTCAATGCAGAGCCATTTACCATCTTTGTCATCATCGATGTCAAAAACTTAATATTTTCATATTTTCTTTGTTTTACACATTTATCATACAATTTTTAAAAGTTAACATCTTAGATAAGTTTTTATATAATTTAATTAAGTTAAAACATCTGTTATAAAATGTAAACTTATCCTTATATAATTCTTTATAATAAAGTACAATATTTCTAGGGGTTATATATACCCTCGTTATGTATTTTATTATAAAGAATTATATAAGGATAAGTTTACATACTGTAACAGATGTTTTAACTTAATTAAACATTTATTATACGTCTTCAGAAATTGATCTAGTATTGCCTGTACTAGATCAATTTTTTCCACATTTATCGAATTGATAAATGTGGAAAATTTACTTCTTTATCAATTTGCTTTATGCGTTCTCTTCTTCCTTTGATGTATTCTCCCAGGAACAGATTGTGACCAACAATTTGGATTTTAGGTGGTGCTCTGTTGTTATCTTCCAGTGATTAATCTTCTAGTGGAACAGTTTTTTTTTTCCTATGTGACTCAAAATCATATAAGGTTCTTCACCCATATTGTCTTGTAGTGGAAGCGCTTTTCTTATAAGACATGATTGAAGATAATACTTGAATATATTTCTGAAAGGCAATAATAGTAAATATTAGTGCTATTGTACTTCTATATAGTTTGATTGCCATTCGGCGAATACCAATTCATATATTATTATGTGTTGCTCTATCAGGCAGCTTGTATAGTCTAAATCTTACTAATTGCCATAAACTTTTTAAAGACTCCAGAAATTCTAGAAAATTTCAGAGGTTTCTCGAAACATCCAAAACAGTCTAGAAAATTTTAGAAAGTTTCATAAAGTTCAAGAAAATTCTAGATTTTAAAAAGTTATAGTGCTACTGCCTGCAAATATATCATTTTATATATCATTTACTTAAATATCATTTTAAAAAGTTCGCGTTTTGGGTGATTTTTTTTTAAGTTTAATCAGAATAAAACCCATTTTCATTACTTTCGAGCAAAAGTTCATCGATTTATGACAGGAAATTAGTTATTTTACAAAATGTCTTTTAAACAGTGAAAGTTGTGGACAAAAGACAGTGCAAATGCTTGCAGATGATATAAAAGCGAAAGATATTCCAGTTGTATGTTATGACGATCCAAGGTATGTAAAAAGATTGATTCAATTCTGAGCCTGAGACATTTAATACATATGTACATGTAATATAATGATAATATATGAACATACATGAACTGATTTATAATACACACGTAGACCTGATACATAGTGCATGCAAGTATTGATACATCGTGGATTGATACATAATACATATATTCTATGTTTCTGAACAGAATATATAAATATATACTTAAACATAAATTTTCACTCTGTGTAATATGATTTGCGATCCCTAAACAAATATTTTAATAGCAATCAATAACTAATATTCACAATGTTGAAACCCCTGGTAAATTTATTTATAGTGTTGTCAAACATATCTTGTGTGTGGATGATCCCATGTCTCTGGAATGTATGCAAATTTCACGTGGAGCTCGACTCTAGTTGCAATCTATTACGCGAATTTTTTGAATATAGTGTTTATAAGTGTTCGTATAAGTGTGTATATACATATATAAAATATTTTTATTTTTTGTAGTAAAAGTTTTTTTGCACTAACTATTAATGTAATTATGTATTTTTAAACACAATGAAAGATGAAATAAAAGAAGATTATTTGAAAAACTTATTTTAAATAAATTTTATTATAATATTAAACAGTTGCAATAATATCAACATTGACAGTTGGAACTATTTAAATGACAAAAATTTTCAGTTAACTCTTTTCCACATTCTATCTACTGAAATCTATTATCTATTTAGATATTAGACCAATCGAAAGTTTTTTTGTCATAAAAACAGACTATTAATTTTTGTTGATGCGCAATTAGAAGTAGATCAGTTGTTCATCGTTTTCTCAAAATCAATTCAAAAACTCGAACTTGGTGCATTTTGCAAATGGGCTCTTTTTAACAGTTTTTTACCTTTTTTTTAAATAAACAATATGAACAAATACATTTCTTATGAAATCGGTGAACTTATTTTAATTTATAAACAATCTATTGATAACTTTGATGCATAAGTAAGTGTATTTGAATATTTTACCTAATAAACATCAATAATAATTGATCTTTCAATATTTGATGTTTCAATGATTGATCAATAATTATTGATAACTGAAGTTATCTGATAGATTATAATCTATCAGATAACTTCAGTTATGCATATTTCGGGCGTATTGTTATTTTGGATGCGTACTTAAAAATTAAATTTTGTGATTAAAATTTTTAAAGATTTTTTATTTTATTTTGATATTAAGAAGATAATAACCTTTTATAATCTGAAAAAAAATTATCTATTATCATTTTTGAAGTAGTATGTATTTAAAGTAACAAATTTTGTAACATTTTAAACTCAAAAATGTGGCCATGAACAGTGACGGATCCAGGGGGAAGGGTTCAGGGTATGCATCCACCCCCACCCCACCAGAATCTGAAAGTCCTATAAAATGAGGTCTAGAAATATGACTAAACAACAAAAAAAATGACGGCTCTAGCAGAATTGGAAAAAAAGAACATTAAACTAAAAAACATGCAGATCAAAAATATGGCAATCCATTCCCAATGACCGTATGATTAGAAAACATTCTAATGCAGTTGATAAAAGAACAGTTTGAACAAAGGTTTTATGAGCTTTTATTATATTCAAAGAGCTTATCCTAGTTGCTTATTTTTCCATCAAACCACACAAATTATTCAACCCCTCCCTTGTGAATGTGGTAAAATTCATCTACATATATATATATATATATATATATATATATATATATATATATATATATATATATATATATATATATATATATATATATATATATATATATATATATATATATATATATATATATATATATATATATATATATATATACAGTATTGGACATAACATTTGCAATCAACATCAAACAATGCTAAAAAGTGTTCCTAATTTTATGTCTTAAAAACGAAACTACCACAGCACTTGTCTTAAAAACATACCACAGCACATGTTTTAAAAACGATATTACCACAGCGAACAGTTTAGGAGTCTGGAGTCATAGCATCCCATGACATGAGCAATTAGGTGACAGCACACAGGCAGAATTTCGTTGACAAGTGCCATTTTGCAGCGGACAAAACAAGTGCAACTTTTATAGTTTGTTTCATTTTCTTAAGTTTGGTCCGTGTCAACGTCACAGAAGTTTTTTCATAATTAAAGAAAGTATTCAGAAGTTTCCAGAGGCATGCAGAAGCTTCCAGAAGTTTCCAGAAGAAGCATCCAGAAACATTCAGAAGCATCTAGACGCATTTAGAAGCTTCCAGAAGCATCTAGAATCTTCCAGAACAGGTTCACACAGGTTCATTTTACAATATAAGAGACATGTAAACCGACATGTAATTCAGTCAGTATATGGAAGTCAGTCAGTGAGTATTATCAAGACAGTTTATCGAAGTGAGTTCTATCAAAGTATTTTATCGAAGAACATCAATACAAGAAGTAAAATACAACAAGTGTTTTATTACATCAATACAGCCAACATCCAACCAAGACGTTGTGTTCCACAGAGCATTATTGTATCATCACAAGGTAAATGTAACACGGTAAGCCTTGAGAAGCGTGATTATTTATTTTTATTATTTTTATGACTTCAAGTGCAAAAATGGCTCCCGACAGTCTTGGATTGGAACTAAGAAAGAAAATTATTGGCGATTATGTAAGTGGAATGTCACAAAAAAGTATTTGTGATAAATATCGCGTGAAAAAATGGACCGTATCAAGACTATGTTCCAAATATCGTTCTGCGGGAAGTTGGCAGCAGATAACAAAGGTGGAACACCGCGTTCCACCATTTCTAGAGAGGATTCTATGATCGTCAGATCCGTCAAAAAGGATCCCTGGATATCATCAGTCGAGATACAAAAGTAATTTAAAGCTGCCTGTATCGGACCGAACAATCAGACGACGTGCTGTTGAAGCCAATTTTTTTTCTCGACGCCCTGCAAAGAAACCGCTGATTTCACTAAAGAACCAGAAGAAAAGTCTTCTGTTTGCTACATCTCATATTGACTGAAATGTGCATAAAGGGGGAACTGTCTTGTTTAGTGATGAACCGAAGTTCAACATCATTGGGAGCGATAGCATTTGCCGTGTACGTCGACCGGCCGGAAAACGCCTCAGTTTACGTTACTGCAATAAGACCGTAAAGCATGGTGGAGGCAATGTAATAGTCTAGGGGTGTTTTTCTGCTTTGGTGTTATTGGTGTCTGCTATAGGTGCAATACATCGAATCGCTGGAATAATGGACCGTTTCATGTATAAAAATATGCTGAAAGATGTTATGTTACCTCATGCTGAATATGCCAATAAAATGGGTTTTTCAGCAAGACAACGATCTGAAACACGCTGCAAAAGTAGTCAAGCAGTGGTTTCAAGACAACCACCTATCGGTGATGGATTGGCCACCTCAATCTCCGGATCTCAACCCTATCGAGAACCTGTGAGAGATCGTCAACCGCAGAATAAATCGTGAAGGTGTTCGTAATAAGGATTAACTGTTTGAACAAATCCAAAAGGTCTGGACAGCGAAACCACAAAGTTTCATTGATCACTTGATCGAATCTATGCCTCGAAGATGCAAGGCTGTGATTGACAACAAAGGATTCACCACGAAATATTGATAGCGAAATACAGTTTGGTCAACATTTTGTGGAGTTGCATTTGTTTTTTCCAGAAGGAAATCAACTTTTTTTAATACTTTTGATTTATTAATTTTCGTGTACAAATAATGAACTTTGTGATGAATAAAACTTGATGAACGTTGTCTCTAAACAGTTACATAGTTATTTTTCTAAATTGAAAAAATACAGCATTTTTATATAAAGAAACTAAATTAGTATTATTTGTTTACACTTGTTTTGTCCGATACTGCATATATATATATATATATATATATATATATATATATATATATATATATATATATATATATATATATATATATATATATATATATATATATATATATATATATATATATATATATATATATATATATATATATATATATATATATATATATATATATATATATATATATATATATATATATATATATATATATATATATATACATATATATATATATATATATATATATATATATATATATATATATATATATATATATATATATATATACATATATATATATATATATATATATATATATATATATATATATATATATATATATATATATTTATATATATATATATATATATATATATATATATATATATATATATATATATATATATATATATATATATATATATATATATATATATATATATATATATATATGTATGTATGTATATACAGTGGCGACAAAATAAATAGCACACTTTCATAACCAGTTGGTTTTTCTTTTTGGTACCAATATTTTTGTTTTTATTGCAACTTTTTTTTATATATATAGCATCAAAAATGTTTACACTTTTGAACGGCATTACTCATTTTATATTTAGAACTGTAAAAATTGCTTGTTTGAGGTACTTTAGTGGTCGTGCTTACATTTTTGAGGACATTTTAAATAGCACACATTAGCATTTTATTATAAAAAACCTAAATTTTTGTAATATATCAAAAGATAATCATTCTATTTATTATTCTAAGTATATTCTTGTATATTTTTAGCAAAAAATAATAAAATAATAATTTTCTGTCAATTATGGGACGTGTTAAACATGGAACAGATGTCTTTCGAGGACAAGTACAGGCATATCGAGATCAAGGATTGAACAATTCTCAAATAGCTCGAAGATTTGGTTGTTCTCGTAAGAAAGTTATCAGTGCTATTAAATTATTTAACAATACTGGTTCATTAAGCAACAAAAAACGCAAGTTTCGCGAACGAAAAACAACCCCCAGAGAAGACGCAGCCACTGTTCGTATTGCTAAGCTGAATCCTTTTGCTGGCGCATCAAAAATAAAAGAACAAATTGCTCAAAATCTAAAACTCGATCTGTCTGTCAGCACAGTCAAAAAGTCGGTTACGCGAAAATAAGCTGTTTGGAAGGGTTGCTCGAAAAAAACCATTGGTCTCAAAACGTAATCTCGTCAGCCGTTTGAAGTTTGCAAAACAGTACGTACACAAGGACTTACGTTTTTGGAAAAATGTGCTTTGGACTGACGAGTCTAAGTTCAATCGCTTTGGATCCGATGGAAGCAATATGTTCGTCGTCCCCAGAACCAAGAACTCAGCCCTCAGTATACTTTAAAAACCGTTAAACATGGTGGTGGCAAGGTGATTGTTTGGGGTAGTTTTTCATGGAGTGGAGTAGGCCCGTTGTATAGAATTCAAGGCACGATGGATCAACATATCTACAAAGAAATACTGGAAAATGTGATGTTGCCATATGCCCAAGAAAATCTCCCTCTAGTTTGGAAATTCCAATAAGACAATGACCCCAAGCACACCGCCAAAAGTATTAAAGTATGGCTTATTGCGAATAAGATTGACGTTTTAGGGTGACCCGCACAGTCACCAGACCTAAATCCAATAGAAAATTTGTGGGAGGAAGTTGATAGAAACATAAACCGTTTAACTGCA